CCCCGCGTTTTCTAGTAACAGAATCTCGTCATGTAAGCTGAGATGTTCTGCAACTCTTTTATTTTCAACATTAGTGTTACATTGTCTTCTGGCGCTCCTCCAGAATTGCTTGGCAGTCATGATACTTTAATGTTCTGGTAGGTGAAAATTTTTGTGTTCAGAGTAAGAAGGTCTATATTACAATGGTAGTTTCTGAAATATTTGCTTTTTCTGCTACTACTAATGAGCATGAAGTAGAAGTAATGAATTTTGGCGTTGTAAGGATATTCGTAGTGTTTCCGGTTTACATAATTGAGCTTTGTGTTCAGTAGACAGCTGATACGAAGTTTGTTAGAATTTTTCAAAGTATTTAAAGTGTCTCAGTGAAATACGTTATTGGGGGAGGCCTATAGGGTACAATAAATGTTGTCTAGGAATTTTAATTTTGGTCGGAATTAGTGAAAAATAAACCATAAATTATAAAGTTGTTTGAAGGATACTATTTTTCCCCCAAGAAGCTTAATTAAACAACAAATTCGCATGCGACTTAAACTATAAAGCCATTAAGTTCTGTAATTATTATGCATAAATTTTCCATGTGATGTACAGCTAATGAGATGCCGTAGGAACAAATATTTTGTCTTTATGCATAATGTGTTCTTTTAATTAGGATGATATTAAATTAATTATGTGCATTGTGTTGTATGGATTTGAATCAGTACAGTTTTATACTGAATAGTAGATTTATGTTTGCGTTCAGTAACCACTAAAGACAGAGACGCACATAAATGTATACAGCTTTGAAGACGGAGGCAGAAACTTTGACTTCTACCTACAAATCCACACGTCGTCAAAAGCCAGACGGCGATAGACTTATTCAGTGCCATGAGAACCTCATATCTCAAATCTTCAAGAAACTTACGACCTCGATATTTTGTTCTCATTGAAATCGAAAGAACACTTGGAGAATTTTTTTAGTATAAGTCACTTTAGTGTTAAAGCGTGATTTGACCTTTATAACAATACTTTCTAAGGGACAAGCCCATTTATTATGTGTTACTTTATGGCTGTTTATATTTTACGTCGTCACCTGCGTGCTTATGATATGGGATATGATTTAAGTACAATAGTTCTTTGTTTGTGAAAGAATGGGTGAAGCAGAAATTACTTCCCCGTACACCAAATAATGGCGTTCGTAATTTTTTTAGTCTCATTGTCATGCTTTTGGAAGAGACTGCTTGAAACAGAAATGATTTAAAGCTGAAATTGGCAAAATTATCCTCACGTAGCGGTCTTATGTGCAGTAGATGCCTCGCCATTTGTCTGCCCTTATACGGCGGTGGACACTTGAAGACAGGATCATATTTCATCGTTGGAAACCGCCATGTGTTGTGTGGCAGGCGCAGAAAATGAATTCGAGAACGCTGGAATAGCAAGACGACGTGTTCTGCTAGGCGAGCCTATGACGTGCTTGCTCCAGCGGAACTCTGGCTGTAGGATTGTATTTTCTCGCTCTGTGTCACACATATTTTTGTACACCAGACCCCTACAGTGTGTGTGTGTGTGGGGGGGGGTGAGGATTTTGAGGCACTTTCATGTTGATTCTAAACCGGTTTTGAGCGGGGGCACCAATTTCCACACTATTTTGAAAAACGTCACTTCCTAAGATGGGGTTTATATAAGTCCATAGCTGATGAGACGAAAAAGGGGTAAGAAAAAATGTCCAATTTCGACGAGATAATATCCTCTTCATTCTTTTGCCAGTTTTTGAGCTTTTATAAACCGTATGTGTTTGTGTGCGTCTTTTAAGAGCGAAAAGTTAGGGTAGGATTCTCCCCCCACCCCCCGCGTTTTCGTCGGAGTCTTGGCCTCTGCTTCTATCCTAATCTGTTCCACAAGGTCTGCCATATTTGTGACAGCTTTGGACCTGCTAAACCGTAAGATTGAAGCTCCGTGGTGTAACGACCCTGGACCTGTCTCCTGACAGTATGACTAGCTGTTTCTTTTATCTCTTTCCGTCAAGTCGCAAGGAATTCTCCGTTGAAGAAGATTTTTTTGAGAAGTATTATGTGTTCATGAGGGCCGTGTGTAAGGGGGGGGGGGGGTGTGTTCTCGAACAGAGGATGCAGAATATATGAGAAAAAATAGTGAGATTTCAGGTTTTCACGTCGGGGAGTTTAAATTCTGAGATATTGCGCTGTGTAGTTCACTAATCGACCTGATGATGGAGGCAGAAATCGCCTCTGGAACGTCGGTCAGTTTCTGTGAGACTAAACGGTGCAACATCCCAAGATAATCATCAACACGAGAAAAACAAGTAGCGAAATTTAAGTTGAAGGAACATAAATAGTAAAACACAAGTTTTTCCGTTGCGACTGACCCGCCTTAGACGTCAGGCAGTCTTCGGAACTAAACTCAAAATCAATTCATTTTCGAGTGAGAGCTTTTGTAAGCAATTGGTGCATAGGTAAAATTGGTTATAAGTATTAGTCCTAAGTTATGTGACGATTACACGTATATAAATAATAAAGTAGATTAAATTAGTACTTTACTTATTTAGCGACACTGTTTCAGCTGTTTATTATAAAGCGATTCGTGATTCATGGATGTGAAAGCGGCTAGAGCGAACTGAAACTCAGTAACTGGGGTAAACTCCGATAGACTTTCTTCATTTTTCATGTCTTGAGCTGATAACTCTCCCTTAGATTAAAATGTAATCGCTTCAATGTTAACGCACTGCCAAAACAAGGCAGTGGTGAAATTTAATATGCAAATGATGAAACAGATTAATTTATCTGTAGTGGTTGCGCACTGTTGTTTGGGAAGTAGATACAAATTAGAAGAAAATAGTTTTCAGTGAACACGAGGGAAATATATGCAGTATTTCATCGACTTTAAGACGATTTTGATTGTAAGATGCACACGTAATTTAGTAATAGTTTTTCGCCAAACGCTATATTGATTCTTAAACGCCATTAAAAGTAAGAGGAACCACGATTTCAGAAAATGTACATCTTGATGTCTAGAAATTACGGTACTCATCACATAAATTTTTAAGGATTATGACGTCGTATACATATATTACATTGATTTCTTTCAGCGTGTGTGTGATCATCAGATGTATGATCAATACAGAATTATGTGCTTGGAAATTTGTATGATATATTGAAATGTGTATATAATGGAACATGTCGTTAAGTCCCTTAAAGTTTGTCGTATGTGATACATATATGTTTCAGTTTATGTTGATGGTGAACTGTATTCACGTAATTTGTATCCAAATTAAGTTACGTTTGAGGACTTTCCAACTCGTGCCTCATACTAACAGAATGTATAGGTACTGAAAGGTCGTAGGCCTATTTATTATAAATCTATTATCATTTCATTCCTGAGTGCCACGTAGCCAGTTGTGTGCGCTAATTACCCCAGCCGAGAAGGACTTTGCCTTCGACTGAAATATAAATGAAAATAATAGGACAAAGAAGGGATACCTTTATTGAACGTGACAAAGTATCTGATGAATGAAGAAAATCAGCTTTATGTCTTAGTGAATTCCATTGTTTTTTTTCTAATTCAAAGATTTTTGTGCATCTAGGGAACATTTTTCTTCTCGGAAAAAAGGAAACCTTAAAAATTAGTACAATAATAAGAATCCTTTGTACTGAAGGCAACTAGGTATTCCGCGTGCCTCTCACGGGTTGTTCACTTCCTTTGTCCGCTTAAAATACCTCAAGTTGACACTCGTTTTGTGTTCGCGGTCGAGATTTTACATTATGTTAAATGTAAAGTACAGTTCGTTTGTTTTCGTTACCAGAGCCTGAATAACACTACAGTAACCACTAGTAAAATGTCTCCCACTCTCTCCCTTACAAATTATGATCAAGTGTGTACATTTCTTAATAAGTTATTCGTATTATATGGATCTGGATAAATAATTAATATAAATGCTTATTTCCTTTCAGTAAGTGTTCAAATATACTGAAAGAGTATAATAGGCAACACGTAAAACAGTGTAGAAGCCGCTTGTTTCAACTATTGAAAAGGCAGTAATACACTCAGTTGTTGACACAGGTTGGACTCGGGAATTCATATTTATGATTTTCGCCGCACAGTTTATAAAGATCAGTTATCTCCAAAAGATATTCAGGCTAAATGTAGTCAAAATAGTTTATGTGCGGCGTGTGAGAATAACTTCTGTTG